TGATTGCTTTTTTTGTGCTCTACAAGGTCTGTGCAGCCAAGGTCATGATCTCCTTTCGAAAAGACGTCTGCATAATTCGCCAAAAGGTCCCTAACTTGATGAGCCTGTGATGATGACAAATGGACTATGCTCTTTTTATAGAGGTCAGTTAAATGTTCTGGGAGAGGATGTCCTTTCTTTATGGTTGTATTTCTTGCCTTAACATTGAATAGCTCTATCTCCTGGCACACACCCAACAATGCCCCTTCCTTAAGTGTCTGCTCACATTTAGGGAAATTATCCACTGTTATGGGTACTATTTGATGACGTATCAAAAGTGACCTTCCAATTTTCACGTCTGCTGGCCTGGATGGGTCTTCCACTGCTTCCAAAAGCATCTGGCTTCCTTGGGAATGTTCTTTTATTCTACCCCAAATCATATTCTCTGACATAGGGGGTATTGTAGTTGACTTAAGTGTTGTGACATGCAAATCAACAGATGCAGCAACACTTACTGGAATTTGGCCTTTGTTGTTTCCAATCGTCATTTTATCGAAGTTAACTACACACTTCCTTGGTATTAAATAGTACAATACTAATATGCATTGGTCTTCAATGTCAGCCAAGTATACTTTCTGTCTGTTCTTCATGCCCATGAGCTCAATAGTTACCCATACTGGTCCCTGCAACCTTGCATAATGTCCTGTCACACCAAAAAGCTTCTGTACAGCTTCTGGTACTCCTTTGTTATCCAGCACAAGGGTTTGCTGAGATGCAGAATTTATGACAAAGTCGCACCTTTGGCCATCCAGCTTCCCTGTCACATCGACACTATGTGTGCTTGCCATTTTACACCTAGCTGTTGGGACTTCACAATGGGGGTTGGTTCGCGTCCCTCAGCACCAACCACTAATGTTTTCCTGAAGCTGACTTATTGGTAGTATTCTTCTTACACTGGCTCCTCGTATGTCCTTGCTCTCTACAGTTCCAACAACCTTTCTGGGTAGCAGCCTTTCCTGCAGTGGCATCTTCCCTGTATTGAAGTTGCCAGCATTGAGCTCTCTTGTACCCAGGTTTATTACAGTACCATCAAAGTCCCTCAAACTTCTCTAAAAGCTGCCCTTTTCTGGTCTTGATTCTCGATGACTGTACCAACCTTGGTACCTCTGTGTTGGACCTAACATAGGATTCGAATTCAAGAGCTCTGGCCATTGCATCCTTCATAGTAGAAGGGTGTGCTTGCTTTATTTGCATCTTCAGTTGTGGACTGTCCAAGGCATCTACAAACTGACCCCTCAGCAACAGCCTGAGGACATTGGGTGGTGCAGTTGGGTAGGCCTTGTGTGCCACACTTTCCAAATCCTGTGCCAGCTCTTGCAGGCTCTCCCCTTTAGCACGGACTCTCGTCCTAAACCTAGCCCTGTAGACTTCAGACCATACCTGAGTTCTAGAGCAGCTACTAGTGCTCTATAGTTGTGCCTGTCGTCTGCTGACAACTGTCCAAGTATTTCCAGTGGTTGTCCCTTCAAGCTCGTTGCCAGGTACACTGCTTCCTGCACCTCTGTCCATCCATTTATTTCTGCCAGGAGCTCAAATTGTGCTCTATGTGCTCTCCATGGTGCCTTTCCATCGAATTCCTGTGGCTTCCTTCGTACTAGATCACCCCTATTGCTAACACTCATGTCTGGAATGTGACTTCTGACAGGACTGAAGATGTCTGTATTAGAGTTTAGCTGTAGGGTCTCGTAGGGACTTCCTGTTGTCTGGGGCTGATTAAGTCAATGGCTAATATATCCTCCCTGTGTAAAAGACAGCAAATCGTCCTTTAATATATTTAATTCACTTTGAAATTTACTAATCTTTTCCAATTGTAATTCTTGTTTCTTTTCTTGTTCCAGTTGCCACTGGTGCTAGTTTTCTTGTCACTGCTGTAGTTTCTCTTCTTGTTCATTTTTTTCTTCTCCAACCACTGCTGTAGCCTCTCTTCTTGTTTCTTTTCTTTCTTCTCCAACCACTGCTGTAGTCTCCTTGTTTATTTTGCTGTTCGAGCTGCCACTTTTGCAGGTTTTCTTGCCACTGCCGTAGTTGCTCTTCTTGTTTCTTTTCTCCTTTTTTTTGTTTCTTTTTTCCTCCAACAACTGCTGTAATCTCTCTTCTTGTTTCTTTTGCTATTCTTGTATTGCTGCCATCAGATCTGCTAAGCTGTAGTTTGATTTGACACTTCTCGTTTACAGCTTCTTTTTTTCTTTTCCATCCCATATCTGACACCAATTTGTTGCGTATTTGCTTGTTTGTTAAATTCCGATAGAAATTATTTCCGAGGAACTTTAGCGATACAAGTCCTTTAATGATTAAACCAGTTTATTCTTTCTCGATACAACATTTAGTAATACACAGAATTTCCAGAGTCACTTTAAACTTAACAACTTTTATAACACACGCTATAAATTACAGTGATTCGTTTTTAGGGCCATAGCTTTTTTTTATGTATTTCTACTTGGGCTGCTTCTTGTTTATTTGTTATTAAGCACAGCTACACAATGGGCTACCTGTACTGTGCCGACCACGAGTATTGAAACCCGGTTTTTAGCGATATGAGCCATCGGACTTTTTACTGAGGGATGTTGGAAAAGAAACCTAAGTGTATGCAAAATGTCTGGTCAAAAATTTCATCTTTGAGGCTTAGATATAATATCTTTAAGTAATTGGTATCAGTAACGTTCTCCGATGTTGAACCAACCGGAAAAGACTGAGAGGTGTTACTAAGGCCTGGTTCCAATGTCTAATCAGTAAAGTCTATCATTCGCAACATTATCTCGCTCTTTGTTGATGAGCAGAGAATGTTGATGTCTTTACCGCAAGGTGTCACGTTACACGCGCTATGAAAGTGTGTGTAAATACATCAGTGATTTTCTTCGTTCATTTCGTGATGTACTTTGGTTCGGACTACTCTGCGGCGTAGCGTGGGACCAGTATAAACCTGTTTACAACAGGAACATGTAAGTTTGTAAACAATTTACGACAGCATAGTGTTGGAATCAAATCTTTAACCTTTAAAAAACTTGTAATGCATAATTGAGGATTAAAGATGATTCTCGGCGAAATTTGTGAATATGAAATTTTAAAATATTCGATATATATTGTTCTCTATTTTAAGGCTTAAAGAACCCATAAACTGTAAGACTACTGTTAATGTTAATAATGTATGTCAATCAATGGGCAGTTTTCTCTTTAAGTATTTCTTCATAACCTTTCTACTAAAGATTACAGGAAAAGGTTCTTGAAAATTCATGATGGAGCGTCAGTTTTGTACTTGTTTTAAAGGCTCTTTGTACTAACTCAAAAATCAGTCTTGAAAACAGAACGTGTGAAACTTCCGTAGTTAAAATATAAACCTGAAAAAGTTGGTTTATGACCATACGATACCTACAACTTTTCTCGTGATTTAAAATAAGGTCTAAAAATTATAATAGTCTCTTCTTTTTTTTCTCCAACAGTAATGTTAGTTCGATGTCTCGTCTCAATATAATAACTTCTGAACATGACATTTGTATTTAAAGAATACAGAGGTATCGTCAATGTACGGGATAGGCTTAAAGTTAAAAATCATCTGGACACTGCTCCAACCATACTTTATCGTGGTAATAGTGAAAAACCTTAGATAAGCAAGGGACTAATTTAAACCTCGTTGATACACCAGCTATTTGATCATAAAATTTTACTTGAAACAGAAAATATGATTTCTTTGTTGAAAATTGAAACAGTTTAATAAAGACATTTTCAGTTAAACCCGTAAGAATTCTCAAATATCAAATTAGCACGAACATCATTTACCTCTTTTTTACTGGATGTTAGTGTATAACGATTCTCTATCAAACTAGCATTGTATACGGGTTCAATGAAACTTGCATTCGTGATATAATTGGAGAAGTTAAAACTATCTCTTAATATTCGTTAGAAGTGAATGGTTTTATAAAATAAACCAAAAATGTGCTAGTTTAAAAATACCAAAGTTAGATACAATGGGTTGAATGAGACAATCAGTTTTAGGAATTTTAGGTTATCCATAAAAAAGAAAGTTTTAAAAAATCACTAAACCAGCGGGTTTAATGTTATTGTGACCTCCTTCAGAAATGACATCAACGTATCTTAACTTTTAAAAAAATGTATTCGTGATTTATCTTCTCTTCTCAGAGTTGACAGAATCTGACCGACTTAAACTGCATATAAACATTTACCCAAAATAACTATACCATTGCCTTTATCAAGTTCTAAAAATACCAAATGTTTGAGAGAACTCAAATGCTTCAAAGCATCATATTCTTCAGTAGATAATTTATGTTAAGAATGATTGAATCGGAAAATGTGACAAGTGTCCAGTACCAAACCTGAAATCTCAGTGTCGATGTTGTCAAATGACTTATTGCTATTCACTTAAATACTTTATTTCTTAAATTGTTTTAACAAGTTTCATAAAGGGCAAAGAAGTTTACAAAACTGTCAGAAAATCCCAAACCAAGAGAAAATTCGTTCTTCAGTTCTGGGTGAGCATAAAGTTAGATAATTTAAGTTCCAATTATTACTTTAGAGATATTCTCAACACAACTATTTCCAAGCCTAGTTATTGTTGTTATTTTTATCTGTTTATTTTCTTAAGTTGAGCAATTCTACTTCCACAAAGATGTTTATTAATCTAAACGTCTGTTTTCTGCGTTGAATGAATGACATCAACAAATCGTTTTAAGTTTATTTAAAGAAACAACAAACGGTGTAATGCAGTTTTCAAATGATTTTACGGTGAATTTCCGAAGGAAAGATGAGACTTTATTGATTTAAACATTTGGAGCTAGGCCTTAAAGATAACTTCGTTTTTTTTTCCAGTATGCTTATAATTGCAAATTGGTTTTCGAAATGCGAGAAACCATTTTTGAAAGGACATGTACAATGTGACTAAACTAGTTTCTCACGAGCTTCATTTTTAACATATGTAACGTGTAATTACACTGAGATACGCGGAAATTTCTTATACAGGATGGCCCAAAACATTTACCCACATTACGAATGTTTACATGACTATAGTAAATGAACCTACAAGCCTGAGGCTCATCCGTAATTTAGAACTGCTGACCAAAGGACAACCAACATCCGCGATCCTATGTCGTTTATTTCAACCGAATAGCGGAATGGACTGTCATAGTTATAAAACAACTTCAGCTGAAGGGACAGAGCATATTCGGAAACATATCGCGGCTTGAACCTTGGACTTTTAAATCCGCAGCACTAAGCCCAAATTATGAAAAGAAACTAATGTGAAAAATAAAATTAAGCCCTAGAAATCAAATTAAATTAACAATGGTTTATATAATTTTTCAAAAACAAATTAAAAATAACGAAAAAGTTTACTGTCAAAATCAAAACTGTAGAAAAAAAAAACGACGTCGCATAAATACGGTAGAAACAGTGTAAACTAAAGTTTTAGCATGTCACTAACATGCCAGAATGCTTTGTCAACTTATAAACGTGTTGATTGTTCTTCGTTTAGGAATGGCCAAGCAGTTTATGATGATATCAAGAATGAATACATTAAAGTTATATGTTTATGATTTTAGTTTGTTTTATAGAACGTACCTAATTATACCAGAAAGTTTAGAGTAAATAATTATTTTGTTACAACCGAACAGTATTTCTTCTTTTAATCGTTATGATCAAATTCCATTTTTCGAAAGTGTATTTTCTGGAGATGTTAGATACTGATTGTAGTGGCCACTTACACAGACGTCCTACCTTAATTAATCTCGAAGTTTGTCTTGAAAACAGTTCCCATGTACGGGTATTTGGGCCAATTATTATCTATGTGAGTTCACCGTAATGATAGTAAAGTTGTTATCACCACGGGCGTAAGACGCGTCTTCACCACTCTATATCTCTACTAATTACGCTTTTATGAACGCTATACCGTGAAACTAATGTTTAAAACAGTTGGATTGCCAAGTTACCGTTTCGAAACTTAATATTTTGTATACGATGAATAATTTCAGCCCAGTGACGAGAGATAGTGTCGACAAAGAGATGAAGGACAAAGCGTATCAACTTTGTCGAGATTACCTTAGTGGTTCGTGGAAAAGTATTTCCAGTAACGATATGGTGTTTACTGCAATAAGGTATGTATTTCACGTTATTTTATATATACCTTCGATTAAAGCTACAGATGAAAACTAACGTTTCAATATCGGGAATCAAAACTTCTAATTAATTCGAAATTGTAAAGTTCGCTTTCTTAAAGTTACATTTTACTGCAGCACAGTGACCCAACGCGCTCTTCTTGTAGTGCATATTGACATAATTATAAAATAAAGCCGAATTTTTATGTATTTCGACATATACTAAAGGACAGAAGGTAGTATATTTATTAGGTTTTCATTGCTTATGTTAGGTAATCGATGATTTTTGAATTGTCTTAGTTTTAGTACTTGATATTTTCAACCAAAATTAACTTTACGTGACAATCGACAGAACTTAGGTTAAAACAAGTAGTTCCTAATGAACTGTTGATTAGAGTGAAAGCAATCAGTCAACAGCACCCTCCTCCTACACGGATACTACTGACACAACAGAGAGGGCCTGACTGCCGGTTTTATAACGCATCCACAGCTGCAAGTGCGGTGTGTGTGTTCAACGGCACATTGTGGGCTCGAACCTTAGATTTTCCTGTCACGCTAACCACTAAACTTGTAGTTTTTATTTTATTTTATTGCTTATGGTGCAATAGTTTTGTGATTATCTATTTTATTTACTGTTTTAAAATATATAATAGGCCTTTTTTGAAGCAACTTTTATGAAGTGATAAATACGTTTTATTAGATATTCTAAAGAAGTAAATTATCTGCAGATATGTTAATTACTAATTAAAAGATTTTACAAACCTTCATGGCAAATTGAAACATAATAATAATTAGAGCTTACAAGTCAAAATGTGTTCAGAATTTGTGGCTATCTGCCCTTAGCCAGTCCTAATTTTGAACTGATAGACTCGGAAGCACCGCTGTCAAATCTTGTCAGACCAGAATAATGATATTTTACCATTACTCGTATAGAAAACCTACGACTCCAATGTGCGGAACTTATTTTTACTGTAACAGTACTCGAACCAAGAACAATTGTATTTACAGTCTGGTTTGGTTTGTTTGTTGAATTTCGCGCAAAGCTACACGAAGGCTATCTGCATTAGCTGTCCCTAATTTAGCAGTGATAGACTGGAGGGAAAGCAGATAGTCAACACTGTAAACTCTTAGGCTACTCTTTTACCAACGAATAATGAGATTGACCGTAATATAACGTCCCCAGGGCGAAAAGGAGGCGGGCATTTTCGGTGACGAGGAGTCGGACCCGCAGCTTGCAGCGCCCTAAACACCAGGCCTTGCTAAGTCCGGACGTTTTAAGGTCAATTGGCACGCTAGGCCTACAATTTTAGATACGCCACTTCCTTCTCGAATGACTTATTAGAAAAATTATCCATCAACATGAGAAAAGTAGTAAATTAAAATGCAGTGATATGGATAGAAATTTGGTTATATTGTAAAATAATTCAAAATTATTATTTTTTCCCTATTGGTTAATATGTCCCTGATCCGGAAACGCAAATTGTAAGGCCACGACCAACCCATTTTGTTTAGAAAATATCACTAAATTCATTTACAGAGATCACGTAATATTAGAAACAAAGCAGCATGGCTACTCGTAATTTTAAAGCATTTTCAGCTTATATATATATGTATACACACACAACCTTGTTGGGATTTTGAAACAAAAAGACGTAGTCATGATGTTCTGGTTGACCTTTATAAAGTTGCAAAACGTTTGTATAACAGACATCTGACAAAAGCTCGAAATCCATTCATTAAACTCCTTTACATACTCTCAGTATAGCAGGTTATTAACCTCAGAACCCGGAGGTCTACTGGGGGGGGGGGATTCTGAGAGAGAGGTAAATCAGTGTACCCAGGATTTTATAGCACGCGCTTTTAGCTTGGGTGTTCGTAATTACTGAATTTCTTTTCATTGTAATTAATTTTTATGTTTTTGTTTTGTAGGGCCCCCAAAGTCTTTTTAAATGTATTTTTCTAAACTATTTGTACATCAAATTCCCCATGGCTTTGTTGGTTACATGATCCTAATAACGTACGAATTATACATTACATAATCCCCATGACTTTGTTGGTTACATGATCCTGATAACGTACGAATTATACATTACATAATCCCAATGACTTTGTTGGTTACATGATCCTAATAACGTACGAATTATACATTACATAAAAATGTAGATCCCTAGTATTGCAATTCATCATATTACTGGGCCCAGCCATGTATTTGACACAGAAAATGAATGATTTCACCCCAACATTTTGGTCAGTTCTTCGCACTGAGGTCATGATAACAAAACCTCGAAACGTTGTCCTTATGTTACTATGTTAAACTTCTAATAAAGTCAATAGTTGTTTTGTAAGTATCGTATTTGGCATCAACATTGAAGTTGTTGGACTATGAACTATCGATTTGTTTTTGATTTTTTATTATTATGCTGCGGTTGTGACGCAAATACGTAACCATCTTTAAAGTCGACATAAAATAAAAATGTCTAAGTGCACTCGTTTGCTGCTGTACTGACGCTGTTAGATGTTTATTCGATAAAGTCCGGGCTTTGACAGTTAACGCAAGTTCGCGTTGTCAGTGAATTAATGCTTGACTTCACTTTATGCTTGATATTTCTCATTTAATAAGAACAGGCTACTCCAGATCTTCACATACTCTTAAGTGCTATGTGCATGCTTTGTGTGCTGTTATACAAGTATTGAAATTTTAGTTCAATTTCACAGTTAAAATATATCGATAACCTAACTTACACTCTTTATCAGATAAAAAATATCATAAAATGAGCTGAAATAATATGTGTGTCAATTAAAATGAGCCCAGTTTACTTACATAATACGGGGGAGGGGGCGAAGGGCCTGATAAACTTAAGAATTGCCGAATACTTTTTCTTTGCGGGAGGCCCATCTTTTGTAGTTATGCATATGATCATATGCCTACAAGCCATTATACATAACGAGATCGTTATAATCTCGTATTTATTTCGAGAAAGTGAAGTCATTATTGAGGGACATGATATCAAAGAAAAAAAAAAATATTGTTTAGTACTATGCAATGCTTTATTCTGTAAAGTGTGCATTTTAAGTTTCCAAATTATGTTAAAATGTTATGAGTTCGGTTGGTATATTGTATATCCAGTTTTGTTTATTGAATAGTTAGATTTTTTTGTTAATCTAGAAAGTATATGCCCTCTCTGAAACATCTATCAAACCCCCTCCAAAAAAAAAAAACCTAACAGACTTTTATGATGGCTCAGCAGTATTAGACACTCCTATAAACTCCAGAAATGCCATAAATTTGCTCTTTGGTCAAAAAGGTAAATCTGTTATGCCAAATTAGCACTCTGTATATGCTAATATAATGATTTGTTTTACTCGGAGTACTTTAAGTTTAACTTACCTGACAGTGACAGCATCATCAAGATTTGATTTTTAATATTCTGTGTCTTAATTCTTTGAGGGAAGTAATGGAACAACCCTAGCCTACACCAAAGAGGTCATAATAAGGCGTGGCAGGACTTAGTATTTGGTTGATAAATAGAAAGGACTAGACAGACAAGTATGAAAGGATTTTTTGAGGAAGCTAACTGGGGTAGTGGACCAAAAGGGTTATTTATTTACAAAGTCTATAGAATGAACCTAGAAATTTTAAGGAACAAGCAGTAGCTCATAAAAAGGCAGCTGAACAACAACATAGTTAAGTAGAAATGAATGCTGCATAGGAGAGGGGGGAGGGTTAATAAAAGTAATTGAAAAACCATTAAAAATGATAATGTACATATAGATGGAATAATTGTATAATGGCAAATCAGGCTTTTATTTATATTATATGAAGACAAGAAAATAGCTTTTAATAATAAAAATAAAATCAGATCAGAAGTGCAAGAAGTGTAGAAAAAGATGGGAAGCACTTACTGAAGAAACTTTTTGTTGGAGAAATGTTGAATTGTTGACTAGTAATTTATTATATGTCTAACACTCTTGTGTATGTAAACAAAAAATTGAGTCTTGATAATTGTTAGATCTAGTTCAGTCTATTCAATACAAGAAATTATTAATCATCTGTAGAATGTGACTTAATTAAAACTGCCATTTTAAAGGGGAATGTCAGCATTAAGGCATTGAAGATTAAAATATGATGTTTTACAGACCATTATGTTCATATATATTTATATTGATTTTAAATGTTTGTTTCCTTTAAAAATTCAAAAAGCTGTTTCATTTAAAAAAAATGGTAAAAGTTAACTGATAATATATATATATATATATATATATATATATATATAT